CTCAGGTTTCGTTTTAAACTGTTTACTTCAATTTTAAAGGAGTATAAACGCATATTAAAAAGTCTGACAAGCACATAAAAAACGAGCCACGGAGAAAATTGTCGATTACAAATACAATTGAACATCTTGACCGCCATCATCTGTTGATACGCCTGACGTAGGTTCTTTTTTTGTCATTGGTTATCATAACCTAATGCTATAGGTTCTTAGGTTGTAAGCCGGCGGCTTACAACCTAAGAAGCTATAGCATTAGAAGACCATTATTTTTGTTGAACGCTATCACTTTGGGGGGAAAGGCACTTTTAGGCAGTAATTGGAATTAGTCAAGAAGAAATTGTCCTGTCTGCTGAAGAATCGCAAGACATTCTTGACGTTCCTTGTGAGTTAGATATCATGAATGAATTAGTTTGTGATGAGTTTTCGCAATTTTTTCCTGTATACCCCGAACTTGCAGATCTTCGCTCGACTTTTATCGCCAACTGCGTCTTCAACAATTTTCTAAGTTACACCGCCATCATGTTGAACATTGTGACAATCTACGCCATACACAAAACTTCAACAATGGCAAAGACTTTAAAAACGCTACTGCTGAGTCTTGCCTGTTCTGATGTTGCTGTTGGTCTGTTTATTCAACCATCATACACGTTCTTTTTGATCCAGTGGCTTCACTTAAAGGATCCTGGCTGTAACGCTTACCGTGTGCTGAGTATTTCAGGTAGTTTATTTTCAGCTGCTTCGTACAGCGGTGTTGTGGCAGCAAGTGTAGACAGGTTCTTGGCACTTCATTTTCATCTCAGATATCAAGAGCTTGTGACTCACAGGCGTGTTGTTATTGTGGTGATCGGCATATGGGTGTACAGTGCATTTGTTTCTTTGATGAGATTATGGAGGTTGGACGATACTTGGACACTTATTTTTGTTTCTGCAGCTTTCTGTTTAATTCTCGCATTTGTGTTCTACATCAGGATATACTTAACTGTCCAACGGCACAAGATTCAGATGCAGTCCGTGCAAATACAAAACGAAGCTCAGTCTGATGAAATGAATAACTTTGCTGTCCTCATTAAGTCCAAAGTTGGTATATTCCACGTATATGTCGTGTTTATTGTTTGTTGTTTGCCTGTTTTGATTTGCATTGCCGTTATTCGAATTTATGACTCGAGTATCGTTTTAAAGAAACTTTTTCTATTCTCACTGACTCTTGCGCATCTTAATTCATCTTTAAACCCTGTCATTTACTGCTGGAAGATAAGAAACATTCGACAATCTATCATGAACGTACTGCGGAACGTATCTTGGAGAATAAATCAGCCATTTCGGATAAACTACCATCGATCAGCGAGTGTCGTCCATATTGAAAACTGATGCACTCT